GATCAATTTTACAACATTTTATTTGTAGTGAATTGACCACATGTCTCATATCACACACGTGATTTACATGTCCCAAGCAAAGCCGGGATCGAATCAACCCTAAATTGAGTATTCACCTTAGCCTGGTATGCATGTAATACTTCTACTGGTGAATAATGGCCGCTTTTCAAAGCTCCAGATAACTCTGACAAAGACAACTTTAAAATATCTTCCCGCTTCTCAAGAACATCCTGAAGAATAAAATCAACAGAAAATAGTATTATTTGGTTGTGTTTGTCCATCATGACCTCACCTGGGCACAACCCCACAGCCATCTGTTTTTACTTGCAAGTGATTTAACGTAGCGAGACTATCATTTGTGTTGAAAATTACGATTTTCAGATTTATTTATTAATTGATGAAATGCACTATAAACTTTCATATGATGAAGTCAACATAACATAGAATGTCATGTAAGTTGGTTAAAATGCTGATTTTCTGAAGGGAAGCAAGGCAGCCTCAGTAGTGATTGCCAAAATCAACAACACAGGTTTAATCTGTGTGCCTATAAGTTTCAAAGATTAACTCAGGACAATGCAATGTTTATTCGCCACCACTTGTTATGTTGATATTTGCATCTCTTTTGTTCCAGTGAGCACAAACAACTACCATATATATCAAAAACACTAATGCGAAAATATGACTTTCATGATTCATGATTAATTTTTCTCACTGTCTACTACGGCATGAAAGGTCCAAAATACTAGAAGTTTAAATCATACACACACACACATCCGGCTGTAAGTATCGCAAAGTCCTGCAAAGTATGAATGTTATTTTTCTCACTCTGAAATCAGACTACTATCTATAGTCATAGACGTGTTAGTACGTCCATGCTATAGTAGTCTGAGCCCTGAACAATCAATGCAATTTTCAAAACTAATCGAAGTTCTGGGAGCGTCTATTGTACACCTGATTGCGCTGTGACTGCTCAAGCTTTGGTTTTACGTTGCCGACTGCTTGATTGTTTCGTGGCCTTAACTGAATTAACTGCTGCCCGTCTGCATTTGGGGGTCTTACACTCTTTCGCCATCTCATGTAATCCATAAAGTTAGAATGTGTTATCAGTACCTTTCTGACACCTATCTGTTTACAAACACTTGAGTGGCACTATTGACATGTTTTAATACAAATAAAAATACTGTGGAATACTTTATTTTCGCTGGAATTAATTTTCGCTGAAAAGGCTTTTTGGGCGTTTTGCTTGGAATTTATTTTCACTGATTTTTTCATGAGTTTGATGTGAAATATAGGAAAAAAAGTATATTCACTGGATTTTATTTTCACGGAATCATCCCTTCACCGAAAATAGCGAAAATAAATTCCAAGCGAAAATAAAGTATTCTACAGTAGTAGTTCTACAGTTACAGCTATTGCCACTATAAAGACTATAAATGTACTGATGCTGTAAATTCTCATGATTCTTTAATAGCGTATGCACTAAGATCTTCACAACAAACCTATTGTCTTGATTTTTATAAATATTTATATATTTCACAAGTTAAACTTAAACAAGAGGTTTCTATTGGCTGGTGGAATAACATTTTCAAAAGAGATTACTCACTATGCTC